AAATTTTTTATTTCATTTTATTTGTTTACACAGCTATAAAACAAAAAGTATTTGTGAAAAAAAATAAGTTTGGAACATGTTTTACGAATTTTAAACCCCCATTTTGAATGGTGTGCGGACACCATGTGACTGTGTTTTGGCCATTTCTATAAATAGATCAACATGAGCAGCTGTCAGATGGGCCCAGTACCGGGCTCAAGGGGTTAAATGTTAAGCCTTTTAATTTAGTTATATTTGGTCCATATCAAGATGCTTGCTGACGAAAATTAATCACACCAAAAATCACATAGGAAGTATTAAACAGTCAGAATGTGAACAGGCTTTTTTTTTAAACAATCTAAAGATGGAAACTGCTCTATGTATTTATTTGAGCACCTGTCTTAAAATCATAATTTGAACATCTGAAACAGTTCAGTGTGAGAAACACAAACAAAAACGGAAATAAATCTACCGGTATATAAGGAAGAACTGCATCACTGCAGAGGAACTTCAAGCTGAATATAGAGATTCTAGCACTAAGTCTTCTAAATCATTTATGTCACTGCTGTAACTTACAAAAAAAAAAGCATCCTTTCTTGATATGGAAGGCTTCAAATGTAATGAGATAGTTTCAAAGCACATGTATTTGTCCTTCTGCGATAACACTGTGTTTTTGAAACCGGTTTACAAATGATCACTTCTGTGTTTAAGCCATAAAAAGGTTTCTGACGAATCAGGATATTTCATTTCCTCAAGAAAACCTGAACCGTATAAACATCTCTGGGAAGGTTATTTTAACAGAGTCGATGATGCCAAATAAAAGACAGTTTCAGCTTCAGGTTTTATTTACAACTTTTATACCTCACCTCTTCCTCCCACACAGCCAATATATATTTTTCCATTACCTTACAAGAGAAAAAAGAATGACAAAATAAACCTTTTACTAAAGCGCAAAAGCATTATTTTAATTTCAAGAGCTGTGAAGCATCTAAGCTGAACTGATGTGAATATAGAGTTTACACGCTTGTGGCCTGACCCGACAATATGCTGTGAAGCCATTGCAGGAAACATTGAAACACATCTGTCCCTTATTTGGCCAGATACCCAGCTGACCACAGTGTTTCAGTTCGATGTTGACACATAAGCTGTTTGTTTCAACACTGAGGAAGTGCTACTTCATTGTTTGAAAATATCTTAACTACAAGGTTTTTGTCAAGTTGAATAATTTAAATATCAAACTTTTTTTCAATAAGTATTACCGGTTTCTGATTATAATTCAGCGTATTTTCTCAGAAGGAAATATTTTTAGAATTTTCTTAGAAATGAGCATTGTTTTTTCAGATATATCTTCAAGTTGCACACTGCTTTCAAAGGATTTAATTTACCATAATCTGTATTTAGTTTTTAAAAGTGTTCCGCACTTTTCCAAATATTGAAAATCGTGAACAAGCTCTAAACCGGTTTGATCTTTGTCGTCAGTCCCTCAACCGCTTGTCTGATGTTAATACCGTCAGCACCCTCCAGGGGCATTTAAACACTTAGAGCACTTGGATTAACTTCTGGTTGCTTTGCTTTTTGTTTGATATTGGCTAATCTGGCCTTCTCTTTTCTGTGCTATCTTTACTTCCCATTTTATTACTATTTCTGAATTTCCCAGTCTCCTGTTGTTTTTTTTTTTTTTGTTCTGTTTGTCTCCTTCTTGCTGGTTTCTGGTCTGGGTTTAGTTTCTGTTCTGCTATTTAATCACTTTGATTTCTGCTTTCCTTCTTCTATTATTATTTCAATGGATCTTCTTTGTTGATAAACCTAAAATATTTGCATTTGGAAAGTCTCTTCATAAACACCCTTATTTTTTACCCCCTTCCACAGATTTAATGCTCGATTAAGGTCTGGAAGCGAATTCTGAATGTTATGACAAATACAATATTAGAATTACTTTCTGTCAGAACAAATATCTTCTTAACACTATAGTGGTATGAAAACCTTCAGGCTGGACTTCTATTTTTAGAACCAAAAATGATGAAACAGCTTTTAGTTCTTATGCTCCTCCTATGTGGAATAAATTCTCAGAAGACTGTAATAGGGTGGAGAGCCTAAGTTGCTCTTAATCAAGATCAAAAACCTTATTTCTACAGGTTTGAATGCTCTTTTTAAGCGTCCTTAGTTTAAATCTGTAGCCTAACTTTGCTCCATCTGCATTTAGAAAATCTGATTTTCTATTTATGTACATACTTTTTTAATTTGTCGTTTCAAAGAAATATGCAACACAAATAAACTTGCCTTGTCTTGCCTTAAACCAAAATCTGTCAGTGATGTGCATAATTTGTTTTTTTATATATGTATATATTTACTAATATGTCAAAAAACATTATCATCAGTATGATTTCCCGCCATTTAGATTTTATTTAAATTAGTTTATGTGCTAACTTATGTTTTGGGGCATTATTGGTTGACCCCTTTGGTTATGTGTAAAGGATTGTAACCCTGTGGAGGAGTTATGGTCAGTTAATCTGAGGTCATAACTTCATAATGTTGACTGAAAAAATCAAGGATAAAATCTAATCTGTATATACTTGATGTTTTTCTTTTTTGTGTGTTTATAGCCACAAATTATGTCATTCACCTAACTAGAAAACAGGAGGACAAACCGATGGACAAATGTTAATTGCATGGGTACGGCATGGTAGTTGGTTGAGATGAAATCATAGCCTGTGAGTATGACTTTGCCTGGTGTTGGTTATTTTCTTCCCTGTGTTGTTTTGGCTATTATCTAAAGCAGGGATCTGCAAACACTGCATATGTATGTGGTTCTTCGGGTCTTTCACTGGGGCTCTTGGTAACTAGCCAATATTTGTTACAAGTAAAGGTATAGTGGAGGATTTCCACGAATCTTAGAAAAGACCCGCCCCCGCATGAACATGCACAACCTTGTTCCCGCTCCTAAGAAGAAACGCCTATTAAACATGTTCAAGTGCATGCACGAGCCAATTTCTCCTCGTGCACATTCTGTTTAAAAGTTGTTGTTTGCATCACTCATACAAGCTTAATTTCCAATAGAAGATTTGCAAATTTTCCACCATGTCAGACTCAGTACAGGTAAGTGAAAATGGGGACAAGCACATAGGACGGCCTTACGTAAACATATCACCAGAATGATTGAAAATTAGTTGGACCACTTATTTTGATGATCCACCTGGAAAAAAGAACATCCTCCACAATACCTTTAATAGAAAAAAGCTAGCTTTAAATTTATTTTTTTTTTTACCAAAGAACAACATTAACAGGAGAGGTATGTTTTAAAATTTTTTAGGTATATTTTTGATAACAGGTTAAAAACTGATAACAGTTTTTAACCAGTTTAGATTACTAGTAAGTCATTTTCTATAAAGAAAATCCCATGGAAGAAAATGCAATTAACTTACAAAAATAAATAAAATTATTTATATTTAGATTGAAATCCGAAGGAACATTCCAAAACAGATACTAGGTCACTTATATGGCTCCGAAGAAACCTTTTGTCTCTCAGGTTTATATATAGGTCGCTATGTCCTGTTCTTACTTAATTCATGCATATTGTTAATAATCTTCTTATGAATCTCATAATTTGTGTTCCTTTTTTTACCTTTACTTTTGTTTGATTGATCTCTGTCTTTTTTTTTTTTTTTTTTGCTTTAAGCAGCAAGTAGCTCTGAAGGAATTTGAGGGTTTTGTTTGAGCATTGACATGTTCCTGCTACTTTTTGTGAAAAACAAAAAGGAAAAGGGGGAATGACAGAGTGTGATGAGTGGCTCTTACGTTACAATGCAGTGGGCTGCTGTGAGAACCCACTGGTTGTTGATGAGGGTCCCTCCACAGATGTGACTAAACCTGAAGTGTAAGCTGACCTGCCAGGGCCAAGCCCCAGCAGTGGCGCCTTCACCACCGACTATCCTTGTGTTCAGCGGTGCAACCCCACAGTCTGACAAACCATAAATATATTTTTATACAATAATTATAGTAATTAGCATCTTCTACGACCTTAAAGAATAGACAAAGAGTGATTCCACTTACCCTGAGCCTTTACCTCTGTAGAAAGACAAAACGTAGAAATTAATAATAACTTGGTGATCATGGTTTATCAAAGTGACCACTTGGGGGCACTACAGTTTGTATTGCTTCCTTTAATTACTCAATCAAATTTCAATTGTACTTAATTGATGTTTCATTATGATAATCTATTTACAATAACAATAAATAGATTTTAATTATCATATGTATCACTATTATATAATCAGCTACTTGTGTTACCTTATATTTTAGTGATGATATATCATATTTGATGTCAGTTCATCTCTGAATCATTAACAGGCTACTTTTGTGTCTTTTATTCATTTATTTTATAGTTTTCAGTCAAAGTAATAAAAAACAAAAGAATTGTCATTCTGCAAATTTTAAGATTTTTGTAAAATATTCTAACTTCAGTTTTTATTTTTGACTTAACACATTTTCTCTAGTTGAAATTTGACAGGATACAACCCTTTTCGCATTATTCCTTTTCTAAAATGTTGCTTCTAAATAGTTAAGAAAAGAAAATCTCCCGCTTGGTAAAAAAGAAAGTCAAACAAACAGTTTAGATATGTTTCTTTCTAGCAAAACATGCACATAAAGGGTAAATATAAATGGTAATAAATCTCACCTTGCCCAGAGAGGACTGTGCAAATCAAGAGCACCCACAGAGTTGAGCTCGTCATACTGTTTCCCTCAAAAGCTCCTGGCCTCTGTCAGTACAAGCCGTCTGTAAAAGATAATATGTAAGTTCATCTCTTCGCTGCTTACATGTAAAAAAGCAAAGAGAAAACTCGCCCTAAACAAACTGGTTCCTCTACATGCCGGTAAGCTTAAACTCGTTGTACAGGGAATCATGCATTTCCTGAAAATTTGCAAAGAGTTTGGAGGTTAATTATAGAATCCAAGCTGTCTTAAAACAGTTGACATCTCTAAAGCATTCTTCGTGTTCTTTCTTATCTTAACAGCCATACCTGTTCTTGATATGCAAATCCTTGTTAAAGATGTGAGCGAGTGACATCTCTTAGCTTTGACATAACCTGCAATAAAATATCACAAAGGTTGGTTTGTTGATAGTGCAAACACATACAGAAACGTAAACGCCTACTGTATTTCCTAGACAATATGTTTAGAGGACAAAATGGCACCGCATCCCAACAGGGCTGTGGTGTATGAATAGAAATTAATCTCTGAGGATTGTTTCCAACTCCTTGTTGGATCTACTGAAAGGCTGAGGCAGTTCTGAAGGCTTTAGAGAATCCAACCTGCCACAAGGTTTACCAATGAAAGAGTGCATTCACTCAGTTAGCTTGCTTATAGATTTTATCTACCACAAGAATAGAAGTGGCCTACTTTGATGTACTTTAGTGCAAATCTGTTCAAAAAAAATTTCTGTAACTTTTTTGTAAAAACCAAACCCAAATTTTAACAAATCAAGCTGATTGAAAATCTGCTCTCCATGATGACTACTGTACATTGCTATCTTTCAAAATAAGAACCTTTTTGTTTTAATTTGTTATTTAATTAGTTATTTGTGTATATATATCTATATTTATATTATTTTGTGTGGTTTGTTGTATATATATATAAAAATGTTTGTATCTGGAGCGTGTAACAAAAGTAATTTCCCTCCGGCATTATTAAAGCATGTCTGATTCTGATTTGCATTCTTTCCGTTTCATCTTTATGCTGATAAAATGATAAAACTTGTAAAGAGCCACAAACATTACAAAAATTTTTTGGCTGTTACAGCATCCTAGAGAGAATTATCAGCTGTGCTGCTACCATCAACACCCTTGTTTATAGATGCTGGAGATCGGCCTGTTTTCCAGTGTAGTCCTGTTTCTCTGAATGTGACTAGCTGGATGTTCTCTCTTCATCCTCTGACATGGGAGCTGGCTCAGAGCTTGTCTGCCTGGCTGTGTGTTTCCTGGACAGGGCCGCCTTTTGCAGCTGCTTTTTGTATCTCTGCCTCTGTCTCCTTGAACCCCAGTCGGCCTCAGCAGATGGCCGCTCACAATGGGCCTGGTTCTGCAGCAGGGTTCCTCTTGTTAACAGGGAGTTTTTCCTCTCCACTGTCGCTACAAGTATGCTTAGTGTGAGCGATTACATTCGAGTCAATGACTCGATGCAATCAACTGGTTTTCCTTAGATAGAAAACTTGAATCCATTTGACTGTATGATCTAGTAAACTGTATAGTACCTTGAGATGACATGTGTAAACTAAACTGAATTGAATTGTTATAAGAAAAAAAAACTACTATTTTGTAAATATCTACCACAGAAGATTTGACATTTTGAAATAACCACAATGCCAATTCTAGTTTAAGTTTGAAATTAAGGAAAGAAGATTTTTGAAAATAGAATAAATACATTTTAAATGGGCTGCTTAAATGGATCTTATAATACTTATAATGGATCAAAAATATATTTCTCTTTCTATTGTAGAGTTAATGCAAATAAATTATTCAGAAGAATTAGCGGGCTCTTTTTCTTTTTCAGCCAAAGTTATGTAGAGCCAATATCAACTGTCTAAAGGGAAACTTTTTGCTGCTGGGCCGCAGGTTGCTGACCCCTGATGCAACAGTCAAAAAGTCTAACAGGTTGTGATATTTTACCTAAAAAGATTTCATCCCCATATACAGAACTGAAATACAAACACAAAATCAGCATGTAGAGATAGTTAGGTAAGCTCCCCTCTCCTTCCCTCTCACACACAAAATATTCACACAATCTTTCATGCCAGTAAAGCAATCAGTGTCAGACAAAGAAAAAGAAAACCTTTCATCATATTACAATATGTGTTCTCACATACAGAAAGCAAACAAGTCCATTGAACACACATTTATCATGTAATGAAAGGCTCTAGTGCCTGATGTTTGTTTCTACACACAAACAGAAAGGGAGTGAGAGCATAAAAGTAGGACAATGTTTTAACCTACTGATAAAGGCACCCTTCTGAATGCCGTGAAAAAGTATTTAACCCTCACAGGTTACTGCTGTCTCAGACATCGCAACTTATCTAAATGTAAGTCATAGATAAGCTGAGTAAATACAAAAAGCCATTTTGTAAAATTCCGATCTGAAAAAATCTACCCAAACCAAACTGCAACTATGAGAAAACATACCTGCCTGTCCCTTTAACATATTTCTGCCTGATCTGTGAAAACCTGTTCGACACCATGAAGTAGGCTAAAAGATAGGAGGACCTTAAGCTTCAGTCCAAAAAAAAAAATACAAAAGGAAAAGAATAAGATACAAAGTCACTGAGGGCTATCGGTCCAAACAAGGTTACAAAGAAATTTAAACCAATATCCACACATGGGACAGTTTGTTTGTTTGTTTGTTTGTTTGTTTGTTTGTTTGTTTGTTTGTTTGTTTAGATCCACAGCAGTAGCTCTTCTTCCTGGGGTCTTAACACTTTTTAAAAGAAATTACATCAGAACCAAAACCTCACGCCACAAGAACAGTTATCTCTCATCCGCTACCAACGTTATCAACGGGGCCCAGAAATCCCCATGACACTGACACTTCCTCTCGCCCTCCCTGTACAGGACCTAGAAGCTACACCAATGTAGCATCTCTACACCTCCTGCGTTACGTTAATGCACCGTCTACTGTGTGTGAGATCAATGAAGTTCAATTATTATTATTATTATTATTATTATTATTATTATTATTATTATTATTATTATTATTATTATTATTATTAATATTATAATTATGGGCCTGCAGGGGGCCAGTAAGTTTTCATGGGGGCACAGAAAAGCAAAAACAGGGCAAGGGATTCAAATATTTTAAGAGAGCTGCATGAAATGAAATTTCCATTCAATTAGGTTTAATTAAAATTCTGTCTTCCAACTGAAAATATTTATTTTTGGCTTGAATTATTTTAGCATAGCAAAAAACAATTCAAAAATAGGTTCAATTAATGCTAATATTTGGAATATTAGGTCAATATACATTCATAATTTAGGAATTGTACATATTTGTATTGTAATTTAAGTTAAAATGACAGTTTTCTATAAAGTCAGAATTAGAAATAAAGAAAAGCTGATAGATAAGCTGTAAAAAATTTAGTTTTTTTTTTTTTAAAGTGTTCTGAAAAAAACTGGGATTCTATGTCAATACCACTGAAGCCTTTTTATAACCTTATTGTTTTTAAATAATTAGTAAAACTGATATTTTTAAGGAAAAAAATTAAATAAATCCAAAGGACCTAACAATAACCATGTCTGTTCCAGTGCAGACCATCATTAGAATTTCTTTTAGTATTATGTCTTCAGTACAGGGGCCATTACAGGGGGACTGGCCCCCGTCGGCCCCTGACTAGAACCGCCCATGTATATTGTATGTTTTATATTGTATATAATTATAGATTCTGTATTCTGTATTACATATCTAATTTGTCTGTACCATAGACACCAAGACTATTTCCTTGTAATTGCAATAAATCTTAGTCTTATTCTTATTCTAATTCTCTAATTTGTTCAGGTTATTCCCTGTAGTTATTGCCCAAATGATAGAACAGTAATCCAGATCCATTGACAAAAATATGGATTCCACCAAAGTTTTTTGTATTAGAATTTTTATGCATTTTCTACAGTGCTGAAATGATGCCATACTCCTACCCATTATTATTCGTATTTTTTTTATCTGAGCATTCCAAGTTAGCCTGCTTTCCACAGTCACACCGAGCAATTTGCTTTCAGCCACTTGTCCAATGACTGAACCACTAACAACCAAGTTAAGAGTAGGTGAGTCTTTTAAAAGATGATTAGATCACACCATACATTTACTCTATGCTGCATTAATAATGAAATATTTTCTTTGATCCGATTTTTTATTAATTAAAGTTCATTATTTAATACCATGTTGAGTCTGCTAGAGTTATAATCAGACACGTAAGAGTGAACCTTTCCAGGTGTGTAACTTAGGTTGGAATAACAGTGGCTCTCTAGGAGCTCAAAGGAGAATTTAGCAAATTTAGCATTTATCTCTTTGGGAAAGCTCAGCCCAAACACCTTGCTGATCTACTAGAGCAAATGACCGGCTTTCATTAAACATCTCAATCTTGGGGCCTTTTTAAAATGTTTTTTCCAACTATATCAGCACAAAACTAACAAAGCATTTCAGGAGTGCATCCTACTGGCATGGTGGTGGGAGTGTGATGCTCAGGGCTTACAATATTGGTTCTGGACCTGGACTTTTTGGCTTAAGTAGTAAAACCATGAATTTCACATTCATTATCCTAACATTATTTAGTTTTCGGCTATCAGTTTTAGACCCCCAACCTCAGATAATGATCAAAAGAAAGTCTACACATTCAAGTCTGACAGAAAATGGAAACTTACTGATGGTTTTTCAAGGGTCTAGTCAATGTCTAAACTTAAATCCAAATGGGATATATTGCATGACTTTAAACAGGCTGCGAAATCAGTGGAATGCGGCTGGATGTAAACAAATCGAACAAGAAATGTGAGAAAGTGGGTCCTCTGTAGAGACATTGAAGACTTACAGCCAGTTGTGCCTAAACTCTTGATGACAGTTGTGGCTGCCAAAGGTGGCCAACAGATTATTTGCTTTAGGGTGCAATTACTTTTTCACAGAGAGAAGTTTGTTTGGACTTTTTTACCTTAATAGACTGAGTCATTAATAAAAATTGCTCTTTGGATGATTTATAATTTGTTTGAAGATCTAAACATTTACTTCTGACAAAGCAGGCAAATACTTATGTTATCTGATGTGTTTCAATGTACTCAGATAGTTTAGTGAATATTCCAACTAAAGGTTTACCCACATGTTCTGTAAAGCTGTTAACCTGTCATAGCCAGGGCCTAACTTTAGACAGAGAATGAGAACAAAACCTCATTTTCTGTTCAAAATGTAATTCTGAATTTACTTTTGTCCTCACATAAAAGAGCTGTAGTCTCGTCTGAGTGTTTGCCCACACCAGCTCAGTGGGGATTAATCTCCGTTTGTTCATGGCAACACTGCACCAATGTAAAGTGGCCCCCAAAAACCTTGGACACAAGCCCGTGTGAATTTTAAGTAGCCCGTTTTATCCACTTGTGTTTCCTTGCACATCTTACCCCTTTTTTTCTTCCTTCTCACTCTGTAACTCTTTTTGGGCTTATTTGGAGAAAGGTACACATATCAAAGGGCCTCCTTTCACTCACTGTTAGACCCAGGAGCAATATTTCTTATTCCTTCAGGACAATCCCGCCCACTGTCACCTCTGAGCTGCATATAAGACAGCAGAACGGACCTGTTGATAAGAACCTGGTGTCAAGACAAGCCTGACCATGCGGTGTAAAGTCCTCATCTTTGTTGTGCTCCTGGATCTCATAAAACATGGTGAGTATTGAGTTATTGCGCTCACAGACCGGTGACAAAGGCTGCATTCATATCCCTGCACTAAATAACCTGGTTTGACGGACCAGCTAAAACTGGAAATTTGTAAGAGTTTAACAGGGATAAAGTCAGATTGAATTCATGGGTTTCATAGAGGTCAGAGTGGTTCACGGCTGCGCACTACAAAGGTATTTTTCATCTGTTATCATTAAAGGTGCATAATATAGTCGTGTGCATTTCTGGAATGCTAATATATTGATGATAATGTAGGAAAATATATAATAATTTGTTTAAACTGTATTAAAATGATTAAGATCAGTCAAGTTATGACTTGTTTTGGGTGAGTTTTATTACGACTCTGCTAATTTTCATAAAATGAGAACAAGTAAATGTAAAAATTGGAACAAAATGATTAAAAAAAGTGCAAAGCAGGGGTTGTGTTGAGAGACCAGATGTAACATTAGCATTCAATTCTAGGAGTTTATGTTAATTTTTATCCAAACTTTTCCTCTGTGAAAGTCCACATGTTGATTACATGAAGGTTGTTGTCTTCTTATGAAATAATTGTCAGGTGTCGCCTTGTTTTCCTGTCACAGGATCAGCAGAATCTTAAAAAAATAATATTTTTTAAATGAAACATGCATCTTTTTCCTTTCTAAATAAAACTAATATGATATATATGATATAAGAGCTTTTAGGTACAATAGCCCCACACTTATTGGACCTTCTGGTAAAGGTGCTTTAAAAACTATGACAAAATGTTGTTATGCATTCATATAATTGCATTTATGTACAAAAATTGTACAACAATAAAAGTTAAAGTAAAATAAAGTATTTTTTTGTTTTACCACTGACAGTTTTTTGTATGAAATATAACAAACTGATGAATTGTTTATGCTAAATTTGACTTGATTTGATTAGTTCCTGTGATATAAATATGTCATCATTTGCAGTAGCTGCTGTTAAAAATAGTAAAGATAGGAGAACATTCATGTACGACAGTTGTGGACCAAATGAGGATCCAAATGTGTCTCTCCCATACACACACATCCACACACACAAAGTATACAACAAGATGTTAAGGGACGTGAATAACGATCTCTACTGCAGCTAAGTGTAGCTTATTTGGGTATCTACATCTAGTATTAGTCATAACCTACATACAAAGGTATGTAGAAGTCGTAACAGGAACATCTGGAGCAGCAAAAGATTCCAGGTCTGCGTGAAACCAAAAGGAATACTCGTAAAAACACCTGATGCATAAGTACAGAGAGGAACATGTGACGTTAAGGTTTCTCTCGGCTTCAGAGGCCTCGTTAGACTACTTGACATCAGACACTCTTTTAAATGCCAGAGACATTTTAAGTAAAAATCTGTTGGACCCTGACTGAAACCTAAAAATTGGAGAATAGAAATGAAAACAAACTGCTAAATGAACAGAGACAGACACTAAAGTGTATTCATTTCAGGTCTCTTTCAGTTCGCGACCCAAAACCTACAGAGATAAACTATTAAAGGTGTGCTGAAGAGTGCAACTTTGATGCCGCTCCATGATTAATAGGAAAAAATATTGCCTAGTAACTAAGAGCGCTGTAATTTTAACCAGTACCAGTTGCCAACTGAGCTCAGAGTGTGAAAAATAACTTTCTAAGTGTGATCAATTGTGGCTGAATAGAAACTACTTCACATTATTTGTACTTAAAAATAAGAAAAATGTGTCACTCAGACTTGCAGATGCATCTATCACACTTTGCAAGGGGTGAAACGTAAACACTTGACTGTGGAAAGTTTTGTGTTACTTGGTGCCATATCATACAAGTATTTATTGTGCTAGTTACTAATTAAGCAGATTAGAAGACTTTATATTTACACTGATTCATTGAGAGCAAGTTATACTGCCATTACTGATTTACTTTTAGAGATGAAAAGAAAGGAGCTAAAACACTTGAGTCTGAATTCTTGGGCTCTTTTCACTTGAGGTCGGACATGTGACTAATTCAAATAAACGAAAGAAAAAATGGACACATGCTTTTGTTACATTTCATCTTTGTTCTGAAGGTACTCTGCATTTAATTTGTTGATTACAAGATTGACTGAATTAAAAAACCAAGAGGTTCTCTTCATATTAAGGTGCATTTGAATAAAATGTAAGTCATTTAAAACTTTAGCCGCATTAAAAGCAAAACAAAAACAAAACTGTGATAAATTTACCAAACCCACCTACTGGTTTAAAAGTACTGTTTTCCATTGCAGATGGATAATTGCATAATTTCCTCCTTTACAAAAAGGAAATAACATCACTCATCAAGAGGAAATTCTGCACTTTATCGTTAACCTTATATCATATGGCTGTTTCTGAGAATTTGAATTTTTTTAAAAATGAAAGTCGTAAATTGACCTTTTTTTAAAGATTGCTACTTTCACCTTCTTTAAATACAGATTTTTTTATTTTCAGAAAATGACCATATTACACTTGATTTATATAAATAGTATAAACTTATATCTAGCCAGATTGTTCTGTTGTAATTTTCTAACTTTATGGTATTTTTTTATCCTCCATTTAACCTTCCATGTTTTACCTATTTTTGTTTCTTTTGCTCTAAAGTACAATAATCATGACGTGTCACTTAATTGAGATGCACCTGTGTTTGTTTGCTCACAGCTTCTTCTGATGAAATTCAGGCCAACCCGAACACAAATGCAACCCTGCCTTGCAACATCACCTTCCAAGGAAATACATTAAATGTATCTCTGATCAGAGTCAGGTGGACAAGAAATGACTCGAGCATTGCCACGTTTGGAGGAGCAGAGGAGCAAATTAAGGAGGGATTCAGCTGGGATCCCACTAATTTCACCAATGGGGACTTTTCACTAACCATCATGAGGGCCAGTCTCAGTCTGCAGGGGGTATATGAATGCAAAGTTAGTTACAACTCCGAAGATCTTCCCTCCACTAATGTTACATTTAGTATTGTAGGTATGTCTAACTGTACTGATACTTTAAATCGGGTTTGCACTTAAATTCTGAAACAAAAACTAATTTTTTTTGCTCTTTTTCCTCCATGTTTCTAATCCTTAGCGCCCCCTACGGTCTCTGTGCCTCAGAAGTGGGTTCTGTTAGAAAAAGAGACCGAGTTTGAGTGCTATGCAAGTGGCTTCTATCCCCCACCAGTGTTTTTTTCCTGGAGCATAGAAGAACAAGTGATAAAGCCTCCAATACAGGTGGACGGCGAGCCTGGTCCTGATGGATTCTACACAGCTGTGGACAAACTGACCAACTTCTACCCTTCCAAAGAAAACCAGAATGCCACCTTTAGCTGCAAAGTATCACACAGTGGCAGCGATCATGAGCTAGATTTCCATCTCAATGTCACCAGTGAGTTTGTTGTTAAATAGAACAATGCTCTGTCATATGAACGTTATGTTATGATAAACTTATTCAGACCCAATAATTCAAATCTAATGATTTACTTTTATCTTCTCAGATCTCCCTTCTGTCAGACTCTCAGTCGTGCAGACTCGTTCCAGCAATGCTCCTCTCACTCTTTACTGTGATGTGGAGAGTTTCTACCCAGAAGAAGCATCTGTGTCCTGGTTCCAGAATGGCACAATGCTTCCTGACCCTCCAGTGACCAACCAGAACAATGATCGGACCTACACAACCAGGCGGTATTTCACTTTGAGTCCAGAGCAGAGGCAGCAAAGGGGTACAGTTGAGTGTGCTGTGAACCAACCAGGGGTGGTGGATCCAGTCAGCACATCAGCAGACCTGGACAAACTGGATCCTCAGGGTAGAAGTTCACTGTGCTCTTCTGTAAAAACAAGCTCTCAAAGAGTTTAGAGGCTTCCTTTTGAAACTGTTGCTTGTTTTGTCCGTGCTTGCTCACACAGATATATCCACCTAGATTACATGAAACATCTTAAATAATTAAAACTTTTAAACTACCCTAGTTTCACTTATTTTAGTTTTTCAAAACATATTTATGTTTTTTCTTGATGCTCTGGCACTTAATTGCATTCCTCACCAAGTTTTTTCCATTCTGTTTTCTGTTAGACGAAGCTCCTGTGTTAACAAACGCAGCCAAAGCATCCGTGGCTATGATGTGTATCTCTATTGTGTTGGTCTTCCTGCTTTGTTTCGGCTTTTCTTGGAGGAGAAGAGACGGTGAGTCAGAAACTGCGTAGCAAAGGCAACTCATTGCCAAGTGAAATAAAAAGATCATTGCATGGATCCTTGCACGGGTCAGATCCTTAGACAGATTAAAGAATAAAAATTTATTTTATCTGTATTTTAAAATGGAGAGCTTACACTGCTTACATTTACATTAAACCCCACTATTCAATCACCTATAATTTCTCAATGCTCAGAACAGAGGAGAGGCAAGACAGGCAGTGGGGTAATTCAAAAGCGTTAATTTAAAACACGGACTTTGGTTCTGCAGTATCAGCCCCTAGGGAGTCTAAGGCAGGAACGTCTATAGGAGAGAAACACAGGTTGGTGATGACGATAATTTTGCATAGGATGATTATGAGCGCCTGATTCACTAATCTGGTTTGACAATTCAGTCCGTGCCAAAAGAATGAGGATTATTCCAGCTAGTTGGCTGACAAGACACAGCGGACCCTGCCAGATAGTTCTAGATGCTAAAGCCTAGAAGGCTTTAGCATCTAGAACTATCTGGC